CTGGACAAGGTAGTTCTATGCATTAAGTGGTTCTAATCAACTCTTATAACCTAATGCATCAAACATAAAGGACTTAAGTGATATTTGTAAAAACATAGGAGGCTTAAAATGCTTTGGGGTTTGCCTGGGATCCAACACTAGGTTAGTGTTTGTTAGACGACACTCGTTTAGCGAGCATCTCCTGTTCAGGCATGTACTTCAGGGGTCCTTCCATCTTCGGGATAGGTCCACCAACACTGTCTTCTGGTTCGACTCCATCATCACGTTCTTCTCGTGGTGCATCTAGTGTACCTAGATGAGATGCGACAATGCAAGTGCATGAATACGAAGAATGGCAATATGAGATGCCTCACATAAAAGTATTCAAGATGAGCACAAGTTTACACCGAACATATATAAGCACTCCACGTTACTTAATTAAACATCCCACAACCAATCATGCTAGGATAGTAAGGAAGGTAGCACCAAGCATGACACAAGTTTCATAAGGTTTTAGGTATATTAACTTAACACCATCAAAGGCATGAACCACACTTAGCAACACACAAAGCAAAGCAAAGTGAAGCAAACAATTTTAGGTACAACACAGATTCTGAACAGCGGCACCACAATCACTTGTTTAATCATACCCAGAGTTCTAGGCATGCAAAAAGTGTGATTCAAGACTTTCTGGAAAGGTAATGAAATTATCTAAAACTTTGTTATTAACACCAAAAGCTGATTCAACAAATAACATGGTCAAAATATATCATGAAACAGAGCTTATACAACTAAGGACAGAAAACTGATATTAACTTTAGAAATGCATAACTGGAGTTCTAGACACTCAGCAAACATGATCCTTAACTTTATGATAATCTTATTAAGTTATCTATAACTTTCTCATTATCATTTTAAGATGATTTTACAGCTAACAAGATCAAACAACACCAAGAAGGCATCTCTGTCCAGATTTGGATAGAAATCTATCATTCCACTTTGAACAGCTATAACTGGAGTTCTAGACCACCAAAAGTAGTGATCTTAGACATTTTATAAAGCTTAGAAAAAGCACTACAACTCTTCTATTATCACCAATACATGATTACATGTTTAAATGAGCCAAATAATACAACCATTCAGATCTGTCTAGAGGACATGCAAAAATTGACAACAAACTTGTAAAATCTATGACTCCTAAACCAGCAGGCATAAAATCATGAAATTTTAGAAAAGGCAATATAAGGAAATTATCTACAACTTTTATATTCAACATATCTACAGATAACATCATTTGCATCACGAAAATATCACCACCACAAAAATTATACATGCAGCCATAACAGCAGAGATACAACTATATGCATTTTTCATTTATGTTGTTAACAACTAACATTTTTTGCTATATATGCAGCTCCATGCAACTCCTAACTATAATCAAGCAATCACATTACCTAGCACCAATTATTAGAAGTATTACATGGCATAAACACAAGCATCTGCTAACAAACTTTCATTAGCTTTTCTATATATAAAAAAAACTATATATTAATTATAGGTGATGTTGCAAACATCTTATTTGGATATCAATTTTTTATGTCAGAAAGATTATGACAAAACATGATTACTGTACAAATATTATATGCTGAGGTTTTATAATTTAATTGCCATAAAAAAGATAAATCCTAATTATTAATAAACATGTAAGAACATGATAAATCTAAAGATCATTATTTTTTATAAATATATAGCCATATTAGGGTTTCTTAGGCCATATTATCACCATGTAAGGGCAAAGGAACCACATTTCACATTTTTGCACATATAAATTATTTATAAGCCATTTAAAATCATTTATCAAGCATTAAACCAGTTAAATCAATAACTCAATCATACTCCATCTAATGACCATGAAATTTTTATCACCGCACACACATAGCATCAGTACCCTACCATAAAAATTTCACAGTAATTGGAGCAACACAACTTTAGATATGAGAATAACAAGCAAAACAAGCTAAAATTGCCTATTTAACAAGATTAAATCAAAATATTATAAAAACAGTACACAACAAGCATGTTTAATATTTTTATTATATGTATCATGTCATCTAAAGATTAACACAACTAGAATTATCATTTTTGGACTTCTATAACTCAAGATATGCATCTGATAACTTAAAAGGGTTTCTAAAAGCGCTTTATAAGAATAAATAAAAACATCAAAAACTTTCTACTAACACATATCATATTATGACTCTACTGTGTATATATACTCACAAGGATTCTAAAAAGTCCTCATTTGCTATTTTATGATTTTTCTACAATTTATTATGATTTTCCAAAGTTTCAGTCACAAAAGAAAAACAGATTTGCACTGAGGACCCCGAACTTTCTTCAAATGCCGATTCCAGTGAACAGGTCCCTATAGGCACTATTCATATGAGTCTATGGTTCACGATTAGGTCCTTCCCTTTTATCAAATTCTTGCGCGAGGTCCCAGACGTGAGTTGGAGCAGAGGAGGTCGACGGCGGCTCGATTTCCGACGAGGAGGCGACCTCCGACGGCGAGAGGCGGTGGCGGAGTGCCAGGGGGCCCGCGCGCACTAGCAGACGCTCATGGCTTGCCCCATGGTGGACGAGGCGGCTCGGCCACGACAGTAGCGGCCCGACGGCCGGCGACGACGGCTTGGGGTCGGCCGGCCTTGGCCAGCTGGGGCCGGCAGCGGCGAGGAGCATCCCCATCACCAGGCGCACCCACCGGTGCCCGTGGCTTGGCCCGAGACAGCTCGAGGTGGCCTGGCCTCAGGCGTCGGCGTCCAAGCCCGCAGCACCTCGGGCGGCGAGGCGCTCTGGCGACCACGGTGGCTAGGAAAGGGGCGCAGGAGGGGCGGCAGCGAGCTTGGCCTGGCCGTCAATGGCGACGGCGTTCGCGCGAGCTCAGAGCGAGGAGTATGGAGAGCGAGCGAGCCAAGAGAGAGCGGAGGGCGTCCGCGACCGCATGGAGCATGAGGCACTCGGGCGACAGTGAGGTGGGAAGGCAGGGATGCGTGGCAAGGAGGTGGGCGCTCAGCTCGGGCATGGAGGCCACATCCCGGACACGCGTCGCCCATTGGGGCATTTTACCAAGCACGTGGCGGGCAGCGACGTGGGTAAGGTGGGCGACATTTTTGGGCCAGCTATGGGCCAATTTGGTCCTTGGGCTTAAAACAAAGTTTGAACATCTCTGAATACTCTCCAACTTTGATTAAGTGTGCATTACCATTAGAGCAACAGATTAGTGGGTAATTAGCGCCCAACATGGTAATGTCAGCGCATTGACAGCTGTGAGCAAAAATCTAAATTGATGGTCAAAACGAAGTCAAACTAGTGCCATCTTTTTGCATGCTCTTCCCCAAAATATGTAGTCCAACTTTTATATTTGGCTCAACTTGAGTTGCTTAACAAATGCATGAGAACGCAGCGTGTCAATTAAGTGGTTACTAATATTTCTAAGTCTAAAAATAGTCGCAGATTTAATCTTCGAGCCTCTGTTTGACAAACTTAGAGGGTGATTTAGGATTGGGTCTTTGAACAAAGTTTGTTGTACACATCTTGCCCTGCAACTTTGCTTAAAGGATGATGGACTGGTTTGGATTGGTTGGAGAGATACAAGGCTCCAAAGTGTAGTACCCGAAACTGAGTTCAGACTTGGAACATTCAGGCATTGGCAAAGGAATTCAGTGCCATTAGCTGTTTTTGAAACTACCTTTGAATGTCCAAACGTGCTTCAAAAGTGATGAGACTTATTTTGTTGTTTCCTCCACATAGTGTGCTCCAACCCATATTAAGGAATTAAATTGAGCTGACATATGAATTTGGAAGATAAAAATGTCACAACATGTGAACTTGCTGTTGTCAATCGGGGACTTGGAAATATTTCTGAGAGCTCAAAAGGAGCACTGCATTCAAACTTGAGGCCACTGTTTGAGCCACCTAGAAGTTGAATCAGGTCTTGGTACAAAAATAAAGTTTGTGTACTTCACTCAAACTTCAACTTTTATTAAAGGTCAAACTTCATATCTAGTACAAAAACCATTGCTTCATCTTGGTCAAAGCAGCACCTCGTTAAACCCTGGGATTAGGGTTTTCGACCAATTGAGGCATTTTCTTGACATTTGCTCAACATGAACCCTTCATGACTTTTGTTGTAAAGTTCAATTAAAGTCATTTGGGCAAGGTAGCAAGGTTTGGTCGACATCTCATATTCTCATTTACTTAATAAAGCAATTTAATCAAGGTTATAACTTATCATTTCATGTGACTTCTTAGGTTCCAAACTTCACGAAACTTTTCCACTGGTCAAGACGGATGCATGTTGATGTAATGTTCATAAAATAAGCATGTTTAACATTACTCATACCTAATCTTAACCAGGGTCCACATGTAAGCAAAGTGTATTGTCCGAGTTCAAGTTGGGGCTCATTTTCATAGGTTTAACCTCAATACCTTCATCATTACTTCCAGATTATGAACTAGAGATCGTAATCATTGCTTGACATATCCTACTTAAGTCCAATTTCGTTGCTTAACTTATGACTAACACCCGGGGTGTCATACACACAAATGCTCATGTCCATATATAGTGCTAGAGAAAATGTGGAAACTTGAAAACTGCATAGCTGGAGAATTTTTCCCTTTGTCTAGAACTTCGGGTTTGGTTTAGAGTCCCTGTTGCTATGTTCCTGTTGTCCAAACTTGCCATATAAAACTCTGGTTCACTCATGTTTTGAATTTCATCAAGCTTGGTGATATGCCATGTTTTGAATTTCTTCAAGTTTAGTAATATGCTTTTGCAATTGCTTCTATTTTAGAAATAATTGTGGTTACTGTATATTTCAGATACAAGAACTTCTAGGAGTCCACCGACACCGCACAAGAAGTTGGCTATGCCAAGGTCCACTGAAGCGCAGCGATTTTTGCTGCCTGTTTCTAAATGTGAATTGAACATCACATAGACTGCAATAGAGGACCTGGGCTCCATGTCTGCGTGTCCACGTGGGCATCGCCCTTTAAGAGAAACTGGCGCAGCGATTTCCACTGCTATTGCTCTTCTAGAGGGTTGCTGCTCACCCAGTACAGGTGGTCGGATTATGGTCTTTACATCTGGCCCTGCAACAGTTGGTCCAGGGTGTGTGGTGGAAACTGATCTTGGTAAAGCAATTCGTTCTCATCGTGACATATTCAATAGCAACGCACCACTGACTGATAAAGCACGTGATTTCTACAAGAAAGTTGCAAAGAGGATGACAGACCGTGCATTAGTTCTTGATCTATTCGCCTTCTCTCTTGATCAAGTTGGGGCTGCAGAGCTGAGGAATCCAATTGAAGTGTCAGGTGGTTTAATGGTGCATACAGAGTCATTTGAGTCTGAGCAGTTCAAAAGCTGTTTTAGGCATATGTTTAAGCATGAAGGCACCAATTACCTTAATATGAACTTTAATGCGACAATTGAAATAGTTACATCAAAGGAAGTGAAGATTTGTGGTGCCCTTGGTCCTTGCATTTCCCTCCGCAGGAAAAATAGCTCAGTTAGTGATAAGGAAATTGGTGAAGGTGGGACAAATTATTGGAAAACTAGTTCACTGAGCAGCAAGACCAGCATTGCTTTCTTTTTCCGAGTTGATTGCAGTCATAAAGCTGAGCCCCCGACTGTCTTCTTTATTCAGTTCATGACAAGGTACCGACATGGTGATGGTAGTTATCGCCTAAGGGTAACGACCATTGCAAGAACAAATTGCAAGAACAAGAAGGTGGGCTGCTCCTCGATCTCCTGAAATTGCTGCAGGGAGCTGCTGCAGCTGTTATGGCCAGGCTTGCTGTTTACAGGGCAGAGACATACCATGTTAGAGATGTTATACAACGGCTCGACAAGATGCTTATCCGCTTTACTGCTAAGTTTGGAAACTATGTTCCTGAAGATCCATCTACAAACTTCTCCTTGTATCCGCAGTTCATGTACTACTTGCGGAGATCACAGTTCATTGATGTTTTCAACAGCTCTCCCGACGAAACTGCTTTCTTCAGGTTGATGCTGAATAGGGAGGGAGTTGTGGGGTCTCTAATCATGATCGAGCCTACTCTATTCCAGTACTGATTCGATGGACCCACCTATTCCTGTGCTGTTAGATGTCAGCTCCATCTCTCCTGATGTCATTTTACTATTTGATTAATACTTCTATATCGTGATTCATTATGGCTCAAAAATTGCTCAATGGAGGAAGCTTGGCTATCATAAGGACCCAAACCACGAAAATTTGCGGAAGCTCCTTGAAGAACCAGAAGTAGATGCAGAAGCACTACTGGTAGACCGTTTCCCTGTGCCAAAACTCATAAAGTGTGACCAGCATGGTAGCCAGGCCAGGTTCCTTCTCGCTCGGTTGAATCCATCTGTGACACAGAAAACACAGCTTTCAGAGGGAACTGAAGTCATTTTCACCGACGATGTTAGTTTACAAGTGTTTATTGAACATTTGCAGGAGTTGGCTGTTCAGGGCTAGAAAGTCATGGAGCCTGACCATGTCTGTGCTATTCCACTTTGGTCCATATGAGATCCTGAAGATATGGCTTTGAGAGGGGCCAGACTTCATATTCACAGATGAAGTTTACTTGCAAGCTTTATTGAACACTTGCAGTAATTGATTGTGCAGGATTAACGTGTTAGAGTTCGTTTTAGGCATATTCATCAGATCGGGATACATAGTAGTAGAATAGATGTTCGGGATTCACAGAGAGACAGAGAGAAAGGGGGTGATAGGTAGCAAACCATCGAAAGCCGTAGTGGTCGAAGCTCCGGCCGGGGTTTCGTTGACAGACACCATCTGCGCGCCGGCAGCGACGTTCGGTGGAGAGGGAGTCGGCGCTGTGGCATCCTCGGCGGCGGCGTGTGCGTCGGGGTGGCGTTGCCGGCGTCGGTGGTGCTTCTCGTCGCTGGCAGCGCCCCTTCTCAAGATCGGGTCTAGGGTTACGATGTCGGTGGGGTGACTGGCGGCGTGGTGAACCTCTTACTGCGAGCCCCGGCCCCCACCTTTCCTTTATAGCGCTGTGCGACGGGGGCCCACCAACCATGTAGGGTTGGGCGCCCCCGATCAGGGTGCGAGAACAAGGCCCAAAAAGGTCATTAGGCCTAACTGGTGGGAGATCAAACCTAACATTCTCCCCCTTGATCTCTCATCTATTCTTCGTTCTTTAATTTCATACTCAAAACTTTCAATTCATATTTTTCTTGCTTCCATCCTATTTCATCACAGATTAGTGCATAGAATTGTCCCATCGTCACAGCAATTAGTGCCGTTAGACTAACAGCCACAATACACTTCTCCGTTTTGAAATGTAAACTTTCTTTGGGCCCTTCGTATGTTCGGGAATCATAGGCTTTCCCTTAAACCCATGCCGGCTACGTGTTCTCTGAACACGTTGGGTGGTAAGCCCTTTGTGAGCGGATCCGCGAGCATTTTCTCTGTACTTATATGCTCAAGATTTATTATATGATCTCGAACTTTATCTTTCACAACATAGTACTTTATGTCAATGTGTTTGGCAGCACCACTTGACCTATTGTTGTGAGCGTACTGTACCGCTGGATTGTTATCACAATTTAATCTTAGTGGTTCATTTATATCATCAATCACTTTCAATCCGGGTATGAATTTCTTCAACCAATTCACCTGCCCCGTTGCCTCATAGCATGCTACAAACTCGGTATACATTGTCGAGGATGTAGTCACGGTTTGTTTGGAGCTTTTCCACGATATAGCCCCTCCTGCGAGAGTAAATACATATCCTGACGTGGATTTTCTTTCATCTCCCGCATAATCAAAATCTGAATACCCCTCTATCTGCAGGGAATCAGATCTTCTATACGTAAGCATGAGGCCTTTCGTACCCTGCAAATAACGCAGGACTTTCTTCACTAATTTTCAATGTTCAATTCATGGATTCTTTTGATATCTGTCAAGTAACCCGGTAACAAAAGCTAAGTCAGGGCGTGTACACACTTGAGCATATTGTAAACTTCCAACAGCTGAAGCATACGGTACCGCTTTCATTCGGTCAATTTCATATTGATTCTTGGGACACTGATGTTCTCCAAACCTATCGCCCTTGACTATAGGAGCAGGTGAAGGACTGCACGTATGCATACTAAATTTCTTCAGGACCTTTTCTATGTATGCCTTTTGCGATAATCCTAGAACCCCTTTCCTCCTGTCTCGGTGAATCTCTATTCCCAAAACGAACGAGGCCTCACCAAGATCTTTCATATCAAAGTTTGAGGACAAAAATTTCTTCATTTCTATTAATAGATTGATATCACTACTAGCAAGCAAGATATCATCCACATACAAAATTAGGAATATGTACTTTCCATTCTTGAACTTTGCATAAACGCAATTGTCCTCAATATTTTCTTCAAACCCAAAACCTTTTATCGTTCTATCAAACTTCAAATACCACTGTCTTGAAGCTTGCTTCAATCCGTAGATTGATTTCTTCAGGCGGCATCCCATATTTTCCTTTCCTTTTACGACAAAACCTTTCGGTTGTGCCATATAGACATTTTCTTTCAAATCTCCGTTTAGGAAAGCCGTCTTTACATCCATTTGATGTAACTCCAAATCATAGTGGGCTACAAGTGCCATTATAATTCTGAAGGAATCTTTACATGAGACTGAAGAAAACATCTCATTGTAATCAATCCCTTCTCTTTGCGTGAAGCCTTTCGCCACAAGTCGCGCTTTAAATCTTTCTATATTCCCTTGGGAGTCATATTTTGTTTTGTAGACCCATTTACAGCCTACTGTTTTGGCTCCTTTAGGAATATTTTCTAAGTTCCAAACTTTATTGGTACTCATTGATTTCAATTCATCTTCCATGGCCTTAAGCCACTTTGATGAGTGGTCGCTTCTCATGGCTTCTTCAAATGAGGTGGGATCATCCCCCATCTGACATTCTTCTGTTTCATAAACTTCATAGTCATCAGTAATAGCTGATCTTCTTATTCTTTGAGACCTTCTAGGTGCCTCCGGCACTTGTTCCACATTTGGCTGTTGTTGTTCTTCCTCATGTGCAACATTTGGTTCTATAGGTTCCTCAAGGATAGGTTCCTCAAGGATAGGTTCCTCATGTTCATTCATTGTCGCCACGGGAGAACTTGCAACATGTGTTGGCACTACAGTGTCCTGCACTGTCGGTGCAACAGCAGCAGGTAACGTGAAGAATGGTTCTTCAACCATCGGAGTGGGTACATGTACCCGCTTCTCCTGTAGGCTGATTTCTCGTGCTACCATGCTCTCCCTGATCATGTTATCCTCCAAGAACACAGCGTGTCTTGTTTTTACAATCTTCGTATGTCTGTCAGGACAATAGAAGCGATATCCTTTCGATCTTTCTGGATAGCCAATAAAATGACAGCTGACTGTCTTGGAGTCTAACTTTCCTATGTTTGGGTTAAACACTTTTGCCTCAGTCGGACAGCCCCACACACGCAAATGGTTAAGTGAGGGTTCCCTTCCTATCCATAATTCATACGTTGTTTTAGGCACCGATTTGCTTGGTACTCGATTAAGTATGTGAATGGCGGTTTTCAGTGCCTCCATCCATAAACTAATCGGTAATGTGGAGTAACTCATCATGCTTCTTACCATATCCATTAAGGTATGGTTACGTCTTTCAGCCACTCCATTCTGCTGAGGCTCCCCCGATGTGGAATACTGAGCAACTATGTCATTTTCCTATAGGAACCTTGCAAATGGTCCAGGAATTTGGCCATATGGGGTATGTCGCCCATAGTACTCTCCACCTTCGTACTATCTTGATTTTCTTATTGTGCTGATTTTCAACTTCAGCTTTAAATATTTTAAATTTATCCAATGCTTCCGATCTTTCTTTAATTAGATAAATATTGCCATAACGAGAGTAGTCGTATGTGAATGTTATAAACGAGTCATAACCATCCACACTTTTCACAGGAAAATGACCACATATGTCTGTGTGGATTATTTCTAAAATTCCTGTGCTTTGTTTGGCATCTTTTTTAATTTTCTTGACATACTTTCCTTTGATGCAATCAATACATTGTTCTAAATCTAAAAATTCTAAGTGCGGGAGAATTGATTCCTTAACCAATCGTTCCATTCTCCCCCTCGAAATATGGCCCAAGCGACAATGCCATAATTTCGAAGAGACAGTATCAATTCTCTTCCGCTTCTTAGTTACATCCGCAGATGGGGAATCATTCACATTCTCATCACATACATTGTTCGCATTCTCAGCAAGAGATAATAAATAAAGCTTGTCTTGTTGGAAGGCAAGACCAACACATTTATTATTAACCAGTATCTTACACTTGCCATCACCAAAATGACAATCAATTCCATCATCATCAAGTTTCGAAACACTTATCAAATTTCTACGCAAAGAAGGAACATAAAGTACTTCTTTAAGTCTAAGTACAAAACCACTATTCAATTCTAAAGAAAAATCTCCAATGGCTTCAACATTGGCTTGCACTCCATTTGCAACTTTAATCGTTCTTTCTCCTCTTTGCAAGGTTCTCGTCCCACTTAACCCCTGTAAGGAATTTACAACATGAGTAGTTGCTCCTGAATCAACCCACCAAGTAGATTTATCATAACATAAATACAGGAATTCATCTACAAATGTAATAAATTCATTACCTTTCTTTAGCAGTGATTTCAGGAAGTCTGGACAATCTCTCTTGTAGTGTCCCTTCTTGAAGCAGTGCTTGCACTGATCTTTTTCAGCTCCACCATACTGCTGCTTCTCAGAATCCTAGGGTTTCTTTCCTTGTGAACTGGAGGAAGAGGTCTTATCCCACTTAGGTTTCCCTTGTGGTTTAGAATTCTTGCCATTAAAGTTCTTTCTTTTGTTATCCTTCACAAAATGAGCAGATTTACCTTGTGAGGACTTTATCCTCTCCTCTTCTTGAGCACACATTGAGATGAGTCTTTCTATGCCCCATCTTTCAGGCTGTATATTGTAGTTCACAATGAAGATGTCATATTCTTTTGGCAAAGAAGCAAAAATCAAATGAATTAGAAAATCCTCCTCCTTTAAATTCATTTCTTTTAGCTTAGATGCCATAGCGTTCATCTTCAAAATGTGCTCTCTTATGCTACCACCAGTGAATTTCTCATTCACAAGCTTCTTAATCAGTGAACTTGCTGTGGCCTTGGTAGACCTAATAAACTGACTCTTGATTTTCTCAAGATATTCTTTGGCAGTAGCACATTCAGGGATTGAGCCCCTTATCTGTTCTTCTATGGTGGCTTTGGCTACCAACAGGCACTTGCGGTTGGAGAGAGTCCATTGCCTATGTTCAAGGTCACATTTCATTCTTATTTCAGCATGATCACGCTTTCGAGCAGCGAAATCAGCGTCAGATTCATTGTCACCTCTCACCGGGTCCTCTGGCTTAGTAGGACACGGTGAGGTGATGGCAAAATCGACCTCTCCCAACGCAAGTTCCAATTCATACTTCTCCCGCCACACACAATGATTGGTTCCGTTGAGTGTCGGGATGTTGGCAATGTTCACAATGCATTTGCCTCCTGAAATCACACCAGAGTAAGTAAGAAACATTTATACGTAAAATTTCATGCTTTAACTCAACGTTGGTCAAATTAAAACTTATAATTCATTCATGTAAACATTTTACATCACCGTTGGGCAGAAGTAAAATTAATGCACAATTTCTCATGGATCAAAAATTATAATATTGTTATTAACAACGTTGGTCAGAAAATAACAATATCATAATCGCATCAAAATTATCAAAATTATTTCTCTTAAAATTAAATTATCCCGTTGGTTCAAATTTAATCAAAGAGAACAATAATTATCATGCACAATGAAACATTAATAATCTTTTCATATTATTATTTTCCGTAGCACTAAAAATTCAACGCTTTCTCGAGCAAAATATCGTTGGATAAAATTTGCACGAAAAAATTGTGTCAAAATCATTCAAATTCATCAAAATATGTATTTAAAATTGCTCCTGGAAAATAATAAGAAAAATTTTCTTCTTCTTCTTTCATTTCATTGCCAATACGCCCAAGACGCTTGAAAACCGCTTCGCCCACCGTCCTCACACAAGACACAGCCGCACCCAGCCGCAACTCAGGCTGGGCGGCAAAAATCTTGCGTGTTTTCGCTCATGCCCTTTGGGCGGCGACGGCCGAGGATCCATGGCCGTTGGTTCTGATCGGACGGTCGCGCGCCGTCTTCGGCCGGATCAAAACCAACGCCGCGCCGGTGCCGTGGAAACCCTAGGTCATTCGGCTCTTGCTCTCTCTCTCTCTTCTTCTATGCCGCTCTCTCTCATCTCTCTTCAGCCGCAGCAGTGAGCCACAACCGAGAGCGAAGGAGCGACGAGCGAGCGGGGAAAGCAGAGCGGGCGGCCATGGCGAGCCTTGGCGCCGTCGCCGGCCCCCTCGCCGGCGCGCGTGCTCCCCAACGGGTGAGCATGCCGCGTCGAGCGGGCTGGCCGTGGCGCTTCCTTGGCCGAGCCCGGCGAGCCCGCGCCCCCGGCTCGGCTTCTTCTCCCGCGCCGGCGAAAGGTTCATCCGACGCACCCTAACCCTAACGCATTTTTCCCCTTTCTGATTTTGAGTTGTTCTTTTCGGGTTTATCCGAATGGGAAAAAACTAGGGTTAGGGTTAGGGTTCGTTCTTGCCGATTCGTTTTCTTTGCTTTCGTTTCTTTCTTTTCGTTCATCCGAATGGAAAACTGGGATTAGTGTTAGGGTTTCGACCTTTCTTTCTTTCTTCTTCCCCTTTTCTCTCTTTCGGATTTGCGTCTAGGGTTCTCGGAATCCGACCCTCCTCTTTTCCCTTGTTCCGATTTGATTTAGGAAATTAGGGTTAGGTCTTAGGGTTCGTTTTTCTATTTTCTTTCCCAATCCGCATCAGATCGGTCGGTTTCACTTCCCCGATCTGATTTCTTGTCGAACCGTGGCTCTGATACCATTGTTAGAGTTCGTTTTAGGCATATTCATCAGATCGGGATACATAGTAGTAGAATAGGTGTTCGGGATTCACAGAGAGACAGAGAGAAAGGGGGTGATAGGTAGCAAACCATCGAAAGCCGTAGTAGTCGAAGCTCCGGCCGGGGTTTCGTTGACGGACGCCATCTGCGCGCCGGCAGCGACGTTCGGTGGAGAGGGAGTCGGCGCTGTGGCGTCCTCGGTGGCGGCGTGTGCGTCGGGGTGGCTTTGCCGGTGTCGGTGATGCTTTCCGTCGCTGGCAGCGCCCCTTCTCAAGATCGGGTTTAGGGTTAGGATGTCGGTGGGGTGACTAGTGGCGCGGTGAACCTCTTACTGCGAGCCTCGGCCCTCACCTTTCCTTTATAGTGCTGTGCGACGGAGGCCCACCAACCATGTAGGGTTGGGCGCCCCCGATCGGCGCGAGAACAAGGCCCAAAAAGGCCGTTGGGCCTAACTGGTGGGAGATCAAACCTAACCTAACGTGTTCATGTGGATTATTTATATGAAATTTTCTGCTCACTTGCAAATACTGGGGAGGTCTACTGCCTGGAGGAGTGAGATCTCCCTGAGTTGTACATTGCTCAAGCTCCAGTTTGATGTAAGACAATTACACTTTATAGTTGAGCTTTGTTATGGTGCATGGGAGGAACCACCGGTTCCTCTCGTGAAAATTATTTACCGCAGCTGTTAATTAAGAAAACTAATTAATAATACTTAAGGGCAGTTTAGTATTTTTTTTCCACTGTACACAATCTCTAACTCCCTAACCAATTCCACGGGACTCGCTGCTGCCTGCTCGTCGCCAAGGACGGCGTCCTCAAGGCCATCTGACCCTACAGGCTACAGCGGCCACTACCTCCCCACCGAGGAGAACTTCAACGAGTTCATCGCCTTCCTGCAGGAGAACAAGGTGGATCTCACCGATGTCCAGAGGTGCTCAGTGGACTACGACGAGTACCCGTCGTTGAAGCGGAAGCAACATAGCATGTCTGCCGACGACGACGAGGAGGCCAACGAGGAGGAGATGGCAGCAGCAGACGCCGTGGATGGCAACGAGACTGGCAACCGCGCGGTGGCGGCTAAGTGGACGAGCAGCGCCGGTGTGCGCATTGGCTGCATCCGGGACTACCCGGCGCAGCTGCAGAGCCGAGCGATGGAGCAGGTGAACCTATTTTAGTGATTAGGTTGCTGGCCCACGTATTTTAGGTTCCGACAACTTAAATTCCTCCACTGTTGGTTGTTCTTATTTTATAGCTATCCAATCTGTCCAAATGAATGGCTCTACTTTTTTCCAAGTGCTGTAAAATTTCACTTTATAGTTTTGTATAGCATGTGGTATTATCCGCTGGGATGCTGGATTTTCACCAGGAATTGTGGTTGCGCATTCCTTCCAGATCTGGCTGTGTGATATCCAGTGGCGCCATTGTTCTGTTCTATGGGGGGTAGTTGCTGTTTTGTAGACTCATTAGTTGTTGCGCATTCCTTCCAGTTCTGGCTGTGTGATATCCAGAAAAGTCAGCATGTTTAGGCAAGCTCGAAAAAGAAGTACATATGTTTAGGGGCTGCTTGGTTGTAGTAATTAAAATCAGGGGATTGTGGCCAGAATTTTCCTTGGCATTTTATAGCACATCACTGTAGGATATAAATCTTACCAGCTCTTAGTCATCAGGATTCTATCTAGCTTTTCAAGGGTAGGAAACCTTTGATTATTTAAGCAAGTATATTTACCACCTGACATTCTAGCCTGTTCGTTTCGGCTTATTCGCTCGTATTTGGCTTATAATCCACGGCTTAAACAGTGTTTTTCTCTCACACCAAACCAGCCAGCAGTACGTTCAGCCATGGCTTATAAGCCAATTCAGCCGAAACGAACAGGCTGATCTCAATGAGCTCGTTGTTAGCAATTATGGCATTAAACAGATCAGAATATCTGTTAATTGTAATTTGTGACATGCCATATCGAACATAAGAAACTTTAGAAGTTCTGCACAAATTTCAAACACTGAATCCTCAAAGAGCTTGCGAGTACAAGCAACGTCATAAAGCATAAGATGATGTACTGAACAGCGGAATTGGTAAAGGGTCCACTGACGGGAAATCGAGATAGAAACCAAATATTCCTAGAACAGTTCACTTCTTAAAACTTAAAAAACACCAGCAACTCAACGTGAGCCCCATCATTGACAAAAGCATAACTGTAACATGCCAACTCACTAAAACTGTGTTAGTAATAGCTGAACATAGTGAAATGAAATGTTTCCTATCTACAGTATCCAAAAAAGCAACCTATTCCAAGGAACAGAATGGTGATCCTTCAAGACGGTCATGACTGTCAACCACTTAAAATTGATCTCGCTCAGAGCCCACATCAACACCCTTCTTTGCTAAGAATTCCTTTGCCTCCACAATATCCTGCATAATACGTCAATCTCAGACAAGAATAAACCGAGGTATGGTCATGCAGCCAAAAAAAAAAAAGAATTGTTTGGCATGGATTTCTTTGTCATGGTCTGTATGAAGATCCATGGGTGTACTGCAAAGACAGCTCAAGAAGTTTCCAAGGTTCCTCGGTTTCGTCATGGATAGATTAAGAAAAGAAATTTTGTACCTAGGACTAAAATAGCTAACCTGTTGCAGTAGTACAGCTTCTTGAGGACAAGTTGGGAAGAACATAAGTCCAAATCCAACCATAAAAAGGCCGTAGCATCCAAGAGCCACTACCAAGTAGATGGGAAGCTGAAACAGGAACAACCAAATTCATAAACAAACTACTAACAGCCTTGCACTGTTTTTTTTTTAAGATATCTACTAGCAAAAATCAGTGACACTGACCAGCCAAGTATAACTTCGAGGAACAGTTGAGGTTTCAAGGAGAGCAATCCAGATAGCTGAGATTGCTACCAGTATTGCAGCAATCTTGAATATGTGCTTCATTTGGGAATGATGTGCTTTCCTGTCATAAAGAAAAAATAACAAGGATGAGGATGACAAACAAAACATAGCTGACACAATTACTTTTCCTAACATACAAGCCGTTACACAACTTAATTTTGGGCCATGTTCATCTGCTGCTGATGGATCTAGTTGCACACGGTACTGTAGATTGATTTAAGCTGGGCAAAATGCAAAGACCTTTGAGAAGGATACACTTCTGGAAGGGAACCGTAATACTGGCACCTAGAGCATTACATTTGCGATCCAGCAGCCTAAGGAATAGGTACAATAGATGAGTGGTGATCCTATGCACCTTTTGTTCAGCTAAGCATGTGGATTATTGTGGGAGCCTTCATAATTTCGTGAACAGATCTAGGTCACTCAGCAGCATCAACAGAAGATGTGGTTTTGTGTTGCCAATTCTAAGGGCCGGTTTAGATCCAAAAATTTTGGCAAAATAACACTGTAGCGTTTTCGTTGTTATTTGACAATTAGTGTCCAATCATAGTCTAATTAGGCTTAAAAGATTCGTCTCGTGGATTTCGTCTAAACTGTGTAATTAGTTTTATTTTTTATTTATATTTAATGCTTCATGCATGCGTCCAAAGATTCGATGTGACGGGGAATCTTGAAAAATTTAGCGTTTTGGGAGGGAACTAAACAGGGCCTAAGCCAACTTCATGGGCTCGAAGAGAGTGACCGTTTACCATAAACTCGACTCTGGATCTGTTTGTCAAAATCAATGATAAATAGCGAATTTCAGAGATGAACAGTGAGGATCAAATAGCCAAATAGCTTTTTAAGTTAGAGTTTGGGAGCCCAGTTTCGCACAGCAAGCAGGGAAGATAAGGGGTGGGAATACCTAGTGGGTGCTCGCCGCCGGCGAAGAGACTGACCAACGCCTCGGCACCTGGCGTAGGGCGGCGGCGGAGAAAGGCGTAGAGAGAGAGAGAGAGAGAGAGAGGCACGGGTACCGTGCCACCGTGGTGAAGGAGAACGGATGCGATGGCGGCGTACTGGAGGAGGAGAGGGGGGATTTTTTTTTTTTTGGTGGGGGGTGGGGGTGATGGAGTTGATATAATGTATAGACCTAATTTAAAACTGAGCCATAGAGATCTAATTTTAAACTGAGTTTAACGAGACGCGCTGAAGTAAAAAAAACATTCAAATTTTAGCTTATTTTTATTTTGAAAGAAAAACGATGTCAATCAGAGTAATTTCTAATTTCTAACGAGCCAACTCAATTTAGGGTAGGGAAGATCAGAAGATGCAGTTGTTTCCTTCTTTCTTCGGGCTCTGAGCATGCCCAGTGTGCAATGCAAAGACGCTTAAAGTGAGAAAAATTATTATGCGGAGAGATTAGCGCCCGGACATTAGGACACGGCGTCCGTCTAGACGTCCGCAACAATGATACCCTTAGTGCGTCTATGGATGTAGCTTCGTGCTTCGCTTCGCCTCGTGCTCCGTGCCTGCTGCCTTGCCCATGGATGTAGCTTCATGCTCCGCGCCTGTTGTCCGCCCATGGATGTAGCTTCGTGCTTCATGCCTGCTGCCACACCCATGGACACAGCTTTGTGCTCCGCGCACGCAGGGACCGTTGCGCGCCTACGCCCGAGGGGACCACCTTCGCCTGTGCCCTCTTGCCGCGCCTGCTCATGAGACACTTGCAAATAAAGCATTTCCTGCAACATATGTTCGAAACATATGAAACATTTACAACATACGCTTACAATGTGTATGGACACTGCAACATATGCAACTTCTAGATAAAACACTTGCAACATACTTTTGAAACAGCTGAAATATTTGAAAACATACACTTGCAACATACGTGTATAGCCAGTGCAACATATGCAATATCTAGAGAAAACACTTGCAACATACGTTTTAAGCAGCTGAAATATTTGAAACATACACTTGCAACATACATGTATAGTCATTGCAATATATGCAACATCAAATCTATTTTTGCAACATCCAGATGAAACATTGCAACATACATCGAAAACACATGAAACATACGGTTGCAATATGTGCTTATCTACTTGCCGCTCCCAATGGACACTCCTTGACGCGGAGCTTGACGTCAACACGGAGCTCGATGCCACGGCGCGGAGGTCTAACCTCGACTGGGAGCAGCGTGAGTCCGAGCTGGGCTGGAGGCGCGAGGTGCAGCGGAGCGCAGCACCAGGCATAAGTAGCGCGCGGTGTGAGGTGCGGGCGACTTGAGGCGAGAGCAACACGCGACGCAAGGCATAAGGCGCTGGTGGGGCGCAAAGCACGAGGCGCGGGTGGGCGCGCGAGGCACGAGGCCACGGGCGCACGAGGCACGATGCACAAGACGCGCGAGACACGGGGCAGGCGGGTCCGTCCTTTCTGGCTGGACGGACGACGAACAGGAGCATTACAGATTACTAGTATATTGGCCGTGCTAACGCTACGGTGGCATCTAGAAAAAAATAAATCATAAAAATAAAATAAATTGACTCTTCAGGCTCTTCTGATTCCCTAATATTCATTGATTTTGGTCTAGATGAACACAGAGATAAGTTTATCAACAGCATTTAAAGCCAAGAGAGTACCTTATCAGAAGGTCAAAAGTTGCTGTTAATTTGTCAAAAACAAGTTTATCGACAGCATCTCTCAGTGTCTCCTTGTCCTTGTGGAAACTGTGAGCCTGGTGTTAGATCGTCACATGCGAAAACCATGGCTGCGTCATATATAGGACAAGAACTGAAGGAAGAAGCGCTGAAGGAAAAAGAAAGACACATCACTAACTTATTCTGTCATATGGGCAAACTTGCAAGTATGGACCACATCCATAGCACCGCTATGTAATTACACCATCCTACACAAGGCAGATTCATCTCATAAGGAAAATGAAGCTCATGAAGAAAATAACAGGACCAGAGTAAATAAAATAAGTAAAGAACCAAAGCTACCGATACCTCATGTTTACCACGTAAGGGATCAGATTGAGTTTGCTCTCCACCAACCATTGCACACTTCAGTAATATTGCATCAGCCGGACAAACTTTCTCACATGGCTTTGAGCAATCCGGTGGGCAATCCTAAGGATCAAACTCTAGAGAATAAACAGAGTTTTTCAGATGCAACAGAATTCAGAAGTTAACAGGTTAGCAGATACTTCTAGTGAAAGCAGGAAACTAACTGCAATATCAAATGATAATAATCAAAACAAAGCAATACTTGTGTATAACACCGAGTTCTTTCTTTTATATTGGTAAAATCATTGCAGAATGCAGATAGAAAAATATAACTTTTCACTTAGCAGAAATATATACCCACCACAAACATTTGTTATTTATCTAATAACTCAAATATTGGATGGACTAATCATTAATTTTACTTCTAGGAGGCTTTGAAGCTGTCATGCATTAGCAAAAGTGAGAGATTAATTCCTGACATCAGTAGCATCCTGCATGAAGTTTAAAAAAAAGCAGCATCCTGCATGAACAATGAACATGTAAACAACATGAGGGTCATAGCGCAGTGCCGCAGTCAGTCAGTTCTTCACTCATTGAGCCTGTTCGCTGGTTGGTTTCTGGGCTGATAAGCCTGGCTGGTTCTGGTTTGTTGTGAGAGAAAAATACTGTTGGCTGGCTAATAAGCCCTGGCTGAAACCAACAAACGAATAGGCTAATTGTGCATATTGCATCGCGGCCACTGCTACTCTCACGGTGCTACCAACACCAACTGCACCAGCGAATTGTCCTCCACATGTTAAACCTGATTCACTTTTCCTTATAAGCTAACACCGGCACAAAGTGCGTAGCCCCCTCCCACTCTGCCTTTCAAGGTTTTCACCATCTGATGGAGATGAGGCACTCGATGCTCTTCATGTCCATCTGACACTGTTGTGCACAGCCAGTAGTCCCTGGAGCCCAATGTAGTGACGGGTGAAGCAGCAAGGTGGAAGGGACACGGTACCTCGAAGTTGGCGCCGCAGATGAGCTTGACCCAGTCGCCGCGCCGGAGGGCCGTGACCTGCGGCGGGTGGTCGCTGGCAAGGCTTCCCCTGCGGGAGTGGGATACGGCGGAGGCCGCAGCCCCTACGGCCGTGTGGGAGGCCAGGAGAGGCGACGGCGGGTCTACAGCGACCATCGACGCGCGGAGGGGTCGGCGGGAGGTGAAGCAGCCGTCGTGCCCTTCGCCCAAACCCTAGGCACGGGCGCTCCTGGTCGTGGAGCTGCCGCTGCCGTCTCCCGACCACGCCTCCGCGACGGCGGCTCCGCCAGGCCACGCCGCGCGTCGCCCCGTCCGTCGAGAGTCGCGTCGCGAAGCAGGAGGGTCGGCCGGAGGTGAAGCAGCCGCCGTGCCCATCGCCCAAAAACCGTTGTCGCGGGCGCTCCTGCGCGTGGGAGGTCCGCGGGAGGCCGATGGCCGAGAGACGATGACTGACAGATAATCTGACCCATCTGTTTTGACGGTGTTATGTTTTCGGGGTATATTTATAGGTATGGATGTAGGGCCTCGTTTAGATGTCAAAAAAAAAATTGACAAAACACTACTGTAGCGGTTTTCGTTGTTATTTGATAAATAGTATCCAATCATAGTCTAATTAGGCTTAAAAGATTTGTCTCGTGAATTTTATCTAAACTGTGTAATTAATTTTATTTTTTATTTATATTTAATGCTTCATGCATGCGTCCAAAGATTCGATGTGATGGAGAATCTTGAAAAAATTTACAAAATTTTTTGCAACTAAACTGGACCTAGCATAGGTTCATGACTATGGAGCAAAAATTTATTATTTGGCTATAGATTTATTCTAACCGGTATATTATAGGGTGGGATAGATTACATCATCACAAGCGTCCTCAATTTACAATGGAAGAAGCTATTTTACAGGCGCTTGGTATGGTGGCGCTCGTCTTAAGCGTTCTTTTTTTTTTTGCTCCAATGCAGACCGAGTCAGTTCTCTACTTATCAACATGCTCAGTCCGTGCTCCTCAAAAACACACACACAAAAAACTTGCTCAGTGCGTCTATGTACCAGGTTTCTGTGCTACTCTCTAGCGCCCGACTCCACGAGATACAGATCGGTGCGTTGTACAGGCCCCCGCGTGATCACGAGACGTTAGAGATATCGTATACTCACTCTATCCTAAAATAGAAATCGCTCTCCTTTTTCAAGAAGTTATATTTTTTAATTTTGATCAATTATATAAAAAATATTAATATTTATAATACATACTTAGTATTATTAGATAGATCGTTGAATATATTTTTATAATATATTTATTTAGAGATATAAATGTTGCACGTATTTTCAAAAAACCTAGTCAAAGTTGAGAGTTTGACCTGCACTCATAGCGACTTTCTTTCTAGGATGAAGAGAGTACATTATTATACACCTTTATCCGATTTTTAGCTGGACTAACATTCTTTTTAAGACGGCGGAGGATGTAATTGTTATGCTTAAGGGCTCGTACGGTTCTATAGGAATGCCCATAGGAATTGTTCCAGCTGATCAAAGACTTTGGCCAAACAATCCGGTTAGAAATCGTTCTAGGGAATATTCCCTAACAACCAAATGAGCCCTAAACGTTTTCTTCGCAGGTCTCCAGAATCTCAGTCTTAAACTCACCCCGTCACTACATCTGGAGAACAAAATGCACGTTCCAATAAAACCTATCAAAAATGAATTTTCGAAAACTGATTCACATGACAAACAGAAAATATATTGTTTGGAAGCTAACATTTCAAAAATCCTTGCTTCCAAAATTTTAGCCTCTAGAAAGCGGTAAAATAGGTCAGTGTTCAGAACTAGTAGGTCCATTTCTTCTCAAGAAGATAAACTTTTGTGGGCAGCAGTTCCATGGCGCCTTTCCTTCTTGAAACGAGATTGATCCGGATCGAATCCACCTTCCTCTGCGCCATAGACAGCCCATGAGGGCGTCATGGCCATGTAATCTCTGCTCTTGAAAGGCTTTCCGGGTGTCACCTGTATTGGCAAATGGATATCTATAGTCAGAGGGGATTATCTGCTTTGCTGTGCCACAATCTAGTCGTTCAGGAAGCTCACCAGTTCATGGAAACGATCATAATCTATCCAGGTATGCCATTTGCCGTTGATCTTGAACTTATCTACCTTTTGCAAGTAGGACACAGCATGAATGAGCATGCTCACATGCTACTTCGTATACACCACCGCTTTTTGATGCCAAAACCTCGGAGAATTCCTTTACATCAGAGTGCCAAGGTACATTTTCCATTGTCAACTTTGAAGTTGCTGACCTGTATGCATCATCATGACATGTAACATGAGCAAACCAGCAACCAAAAGTTCAAGCCATAATCTGCATGCAAGAAAATAAAATGGCACTTACGAGCCACAATATGTTACACCCTTGATTTCAATGAAATCGGGCTGGCCAAGATCTAGCAGTTTCGCATATGCATCTCTCTCTTCTGCATTCCAGCCTTTAACTAGTGTAAGTCGGTAAACCGTTCTTTGATCTTTTTCATGCAATGACTTGAGTGAATCCTAGTGAGGCGCCAAAGCAGATGACGAACAGAAATACAGTTAGTATTGGTTAGATCTCACAGTCACAGTGAACATTTGAAATCTTCTACATCTATACCAGGAAACGCTCCCAGAAGTCTGAAAATAGTGGCCTATCAACAGCCTTCAAGCTCTCCTTTGTAGCTGCATCCACACTGACATACAGCTGTGAACATATTGACATTGTCAGTATTCTTTAGAAGTTGTTGCATTTTGAAATACAAAGATCTAGTACTTAGTGCAGTCATTCAGTCGATTCAGCGTATGACCTGAGTGATTGGTTTCAGTGCCTTAATCTTTTCAGGAAATTGAGCATTTGTAACCAGAAACGTAGATATGTGTCTTCGGTGTAGCTCATCCACAAGAGCATTTATCTCAGGGCACATTATTGGTTCACCAACCAGAGATAACACACAATGTCTAGGTGACAGACCCTCTTCAAGTTTTTCTGGCTTTACTCCTGAAAATGCAAGAAGCAGCATTCTTAGCTATAAACACTATAGTGCGGTCACATGATAATGTAGATCATTCTAGAACTGAACAGTATCCATGTCAAAAACAGCAATGCCTAGGTTGGTTGATGTAAAACACAAGCATTGCTAGGTTAAAATAATAATAATAAAAGCCTGCACATTATGATTCCTATAATCTCCTGTAAGCTGCTTCCTGTTAATGCAAGGAAAAAGTACAGGTACTTGGAATGATCATGGTCCAACCTGCCCTGAACTTATTATTTGGGCAGGGCAGTATGATATGCAGTGTGTTGCTCAAGCGGTCACTCATGACCCATGTATTAACACATATAGGAGAATGTACGCACCTGGTAGGCCTTTCATTTGCTTAACCATCTTAGTATGCTGGTCAATTGCAGCATTCACAATGTCAAGAGGGTCATCCATCTTCCATTTCCAACTCTTTCCAACAGGATTTGTGTGATGTCTCCAACAAAATACACATTTATTTGCACAAGCCAAACTTGGAGTTGCTTCCATGCATCCGCCAAATGATCATATAAACAGAAAGCAACAGTTAAGGCTGCCAACCATGTAGCATCATATGTTTTCGCAAATACATTACCTAAGCAACAAATATTTAAGAACTGAGATTAATAGCAGGACTAATTGCAAAGTGGATCCATCCAATTTACTAGTGCTACAAATACATTGTTGCATAATCAAAACTGCAAAAGGTTTCACCTGTGACTTTCTATGCCATAAAATGAGTGCTTATAACACCCTCCACGGCCTCGCAGCTGTGACTTAATCCATCTACAAATCTTCACTCCACTATGAGAGCCAATAATTTTGTAACCCTGGCACACACAGAGAGATGATAGATTACTACACTAAACAAAATATAGTAAAAGTGAAGAAAAGACACATAAATAATAAAATATAAGAAGTACAGTAGAAGCATGCCTCCCACATCACGTGAGGAAAACACAATTGCACAACAAAAACCACAGTGTTCACCAACAAAAGCCTGCATCACTATGAAATATCCTAAGGTTTAATAAGAAGCATCTAAATAATGTCAATTACCTGCTTTTTCAATATCATTATACTAAGGAAAACTAACTACTTTACAGAAAACTCTCTCCATTAGTGCTAGTAATATAGTTCGATGGAACTCCTAAAGGAAACTACTTCTGCAGTTATGGTTATTATTAACAATTTTCATCAATCCTTAAACTTGATAAAAATAAAATTGCTCCAATCCTTAAATTTTATGTGATCCATCCCAGGAACATAACTGCATATAGATCACAAATGAAAAATTGTTCGATATGCCAGGCACATAACTATATATAGATTATGCAAAACTCCAGTAGCCTTCCAACATATGGTGGAGATTTCAACTTTCACGTGCACTACAGCTCCTGCGGTCCAACTACAAATGTGCAATCCAGACCATGCATAATAAAATGTAAGAAATGCTCACTTGCTTCTCCAAACTCGTCCTAATGATTGGTGTGACCATGTCCTTTACACCGTTCTGCACTCCATTAGCTGGAACACCCTCCAAATTCCCATTCTTCCTCCTTGCCGGTGCTTTCCCAGCAATATCTTCCATGTCAACCTCCCCATCCACCATCTCCTCCTCATCGTCATCATCCCAATCCTCCCCTTCCAACTCCAACTCATCAAGCCCATTGCTTTTTTCATTAGCCCCATAACCAACCTCCTCGCCCTTCACCACCCTCAGCACCCTCCTACTCCACTCCTCGAACACCGCTTCGAGATCCCCGCCATCCATGTCGCCCTCCCCGAGAGGGACAACTTCAACAGCGCCAAGCGCGCGCAACCAGCGCGAGAAGCTCCTCGAGGCGGCGTTGAAGGTCTCCCCATAGACCTGGGACCCAACCCCGAAGACGGCGAAGAGGAGGCCGGAGAGGAGGAGCGCCCCCGCGCGGAAGTCAGCGGCGGACTCCTCAAGCCAGCGCGAAAGGAAGGCCGCAGAAGGGGGCGGCCCGCCGCCTTCGTGGGTGGGGATGACGAGCAGGAGGAGCGGTACGGAGGGAAGGTCGTCGGGGTCGAAGGTGGCAGCGTCGGTGGCGCGGACGGGGAAGCCGGCATCGGCGGTCAGTCGGGAGCGTAGAGAAGGGTAGGAGTAGCAGTGCGGGCGGCGGCCGGGGAGGGTTTGCGGCGGAGGCGGAGGGATTTGTAGAGGAAGAAGAGGGAGGAAGAGGAGAGGAGCACGAGGAGGGCGAGGTGGGAGGTGGTGGAGGCGGTGGTCGCCGCCGGGAAGGGAGACATCGCGGCGGTGGTGCGTGCGAGGTCGGACCCGTTCGGGCCTTTGGGTTTTGGAACTTGGAAGCTTAGATTTGGGCCTTGGTGGGCTGGGCCGCTTCCATGCTCGTCTTCAAAGAAACCCCAACACTGAAACATCCTCAAAAACGCCAAACTGATAGTATTGCGGTCGTCGTGCCAATTCAAGCTTGGGTTTTTTATTGTGTGCACAACTATTGTGCAAAAACTATTTGAGCTACAGTGATAATCCTGTCATCCATCAATCGTACCTAATCATTAGGACCTAATGTTCCCTATCAGTCGCCCTGATTCCCGTAGAATCAAGATTTACTCTGACCACTGAATATCACCATGCATCTAAATGGCCATGCCACGCGCATTTCTGAAGGTTCATGCGGTACAATACTTGGTTTTTCTGGTACAAATTTAAGATCAGAAGTGTAGAACGGCTCAAATGAGAGCAAAATACACATTGGGAACTCTTTTGCTGTTTGCTCACAATTTACACTGAGAAAGTTCATGTGTTGAATCTTTACAGATTGTTGCAACTTACAACACCACCAAGCAGTTAATTCAGTGACAATCTTTACATATATATTGTTACATTTTCAAACAACAAGAAGCAATCTTGTATCTCGTACAACCCTGTTTATGGAATCGAAGAGTCTTTTTCTCTGAAACTAAAGCTGGTCGTCTTGGATGCTGCTTCAGAAGAATTGATCAATGTAACGCCAACCATAACCAACCATCGAACTGGGATTAAACTACCCGTCAGAGATGTGGTGAGCATATTGTGATGAGTAACGAATGAACATGTACATCTACCCCAGATTCACAAAATGATGGTATCACACAACCCGGGGAAATCGACAGCAGTATAGTGCAAAAATTGGTATGCTGGAGCCTTGTGATTCTGAGGTCAGCTTATGGACGCCATGTTGTTTTCTTTACAGACATGATACCCTCCTTGTCCTTTCTGAAGGTCATGACAATTTCCCAATGCAGTGATTTCAAGATTGTCTCCAATGGGTCAAGGATCTCGAGTTTATCACGGATGATAGCCCAACCTCCAGGCCTCAAAATCCGGTCCATCTCAACAACAATTGAGACAGGTTGCTTACATCTACAACACAAGAAAGGGCATATCAAGAGTTGCACTTGATTATAGTACAATGGCCTTTTTTTTTCTGGTAACAGAAATAAACCTCATCCCCAGATGTGACTTAGTTGGGTACTAAACAATTTATTGTAAAGTAGATGTTGTGACCAAGAAAAACATGTGATTCAGAAAAAAAATCATAATACCAGAACAAGACAATGAATTCCCTATTTTGAGAGTGAAACCACACCAAATTATATGAAATCAGAGCAAGGCTAGTCTTTTCGATGCCATACCTGATCTTCAGGCGTGAGAATAAATGGTCAGCGTGTAAAAGATCATAGGACCTTGGATATGTACTAAATGGTTCACACCAATCATGATACACACCGATCAGGCCACGCTCATAGATTATGGGTAGGGTGTCTGCAGCATGCACAGGAACAACATTCATGACCCAAACCTTTTTAGATGCCAATGCAGCTGCAAATCTGCAAGAAGACAATCATCAGCTGTTTCAATACATTTATTTTAACATTTCAAAAAAATGTATTATGAAGTACAAATGTACAATGCAGGTTTTTAGAGAAATCCTATTTAGTATTCAGAATTAGAAAAGGAGATTTATTATACCCTCCAAATACAGCCCTCATATCCATTACGTTACGGATATTTGACCAGTCAATGCCCAATCCATCCAGATAAGATTTCTCAACAACAGCCTTCCAATGGTTATGATCAGAAGCCACCCTTGTTTGTGTGCCCCCAAGCCACTCAGGGAAACTCTCGAGCCTCTTGGGCCACTCCTCAGGCCAGTCACTGCCTCTTTCTTCTATACCAACAGGTGCTTTGTGCAGGCAATGTTTGATATGAGTATACCTAAAAAGGCAAGGTCAACTTATTGGTGTATGAACCAAAAGTGAATTATCTGGGAAAACATTGGAGTAATCCTAGACCCAGCATAGTGATGTAGCCCAAGTATACATGATCCAACTCACCATGCACTAGCTTTGTTCTGCTCTTCCTTGCAAAATGGAGGATCTTTTTTTGCTCTCAGATCATATACCTCATTTGAGGCTGGTCGCTGAAATATCTTCACTCCAGCCTCGCTGACATCATCACTATTGTAAGCTATTGCATTCCAACAAAGCGCAGTCATTGAAGCTGATATTCCTGAAAAGGAAAAAAAATGGAAACAGGGACGTGAATAGGCAGAAAGAAACATGAACCAGTTTATAAGGGTTTTTTAGATGGAGTTTATAATTTACAACAGCACAAGAACTGACACTTACTATAATTTACAAATGGTGTAAATACTTATGTTATTCTATCATACCTTCTTCACTCTCCAGGTCAGCACTTTTGCTTGATATGATGAAGTATCCTCCTGGACGAAGAATTCTATTTATCTCTAGGAGAAGTTTTCCACCTAAACCAAAGAATACACAATGTCGTTCAACATGCAAGTAGATACTTGAATTATGATCTAAAGAAAGGAATGAAGCAACACATATGTACCATTAGAATGCCATGGTATATTGCATTCACCGCAGTGAATAGCATCAAATGCACCACTAGGGAAGGGTAATCTTTGTGATCCCAGACTGCCAACTGTTGCAGGGATGCCACGTTCAAGGGCAACTTGCGCAAGGTCTGTTTGGTCATTCATAAGGCCTAAAGATAGCGTTATCACATCTTTCTCGAGTAGAGCAATACCAAAGCCAGCGCTTTTGCATCCGACATCCAATATTATGCGTATATTTTTACCCCAGTCAATGTCAGGAGCCATCTGAATGACAAACAAAGTAATGAGCGGATTGTGTAATGCTAATATAATATGTCTGAATGATTACTGAAACTAAACACATGTGTAGCTCAAAAATACAAATAAGATTCAATCCAAAAGTTCCTTGTGCCTTTGCTATTTTATATAGGAGAACTAAACCTTGGGGTTCATAAGTATCGACTTTTCTCAAGATGGTGCAGCCTTATAGCAATTACCATCCAGGAATCAGAACGTATCAATAGAGAGAAAATACGAGAGAATTGAGCATGATTTTCTGAGGTAGACACTCCAATGGTGAAGGCAATCAAAACATGTCACAACTAGCCATCAATCACATACCACATGGGACGTGGCAAGTGGCATGGGCAATCCAAGAAGAGCATTAACTATGTTCAGTTGTGCAACTATTTTCATGTTCTCATTTAATCTCATACCTTCGCTAAAGATAAGTCCAACTTAATTACGCAGACAATGTGCACAAACTATTTAAATGCTCTTTGATTCTTTCTGAATACAAGTAGCTCATGTCTGATCCAAATGTGAATATTTGACAATTACCTCATCAATTGATTCAACATAATGTCTTGCGCTACCTTTGAACTCCCATTCGTCTGGTGGGAACGTCAAGTACTCGCCGCTGTGGTTCAGCCAGTTGTGGCCCTTAACATAATTTGACAACCTAGGATGCCCAACATTCCCATACCAAACCTTCAAGGATCACGATTCACCACAAGAACAATCAGCAATAAATCAAATCAAAATTATTCATGTCCTATTATGGTCTACTCATTTTCTTAAAACATGAATTACCGTAAACTCCTGACCTTGCCCTTCCTCTCGGGCCATGGAGCAGGTTGTTTATACTCCTTGGGCAGTGACACCAAACACGTCACAGGAGACCTTGGGCAGCTGCGCTCATGGTGCCTCTGGCTCCCATCCCCATCGAAATCCACACAAGGGATATAGTGGTAGCCGCTCTTTGCGCCACAAAGCTTCCAATGGTAATGTGCACCCGGGCTGAACAAAGGCGGTAGCTTCCTCTTCTTACTTGGAGCCTTCCTCTTCGCCGCCTCGGGATCATCCTCCTCGCCGTCACCCTCACTGGGCTCGTCTTCCAATTCCAGCTGCGGCGGCTTCTCCTCCTCCTCCTCCGCAGGGGCCTTCCCCGAATTGTCCCCGCCCTGCTCGGGCACGGGCAGCTCCGCTTCCTGTTCCGGCTCCATCTCCATGTCTGGCTCCTGTTCCTGCTCCTGCTCCGGTTGCTTCTCCTTCGGCTCCGGGTCGGTTACCGGAGCCGGCTCGGAGTGATCGGCCTTCGCAGCGGCGGCATCCGGCGAGGCGGTGGCATTGGAGCGGTGAGGATGGGAATGGGATCCAGACGGAACAGGATGGCGCTTCTTGTGGCTGTGCGGAACGGGGCGAGGCTTCCGGTGAGCGTGCCCGCCGCCGCCGCCGGCGGTGCGATTGTGGGAGGCGGTTGGCGGTGCGGCGACTTCGGCTGCGAAGGAGGAGCGCTCGGTAGAGATCTGCTGGGAGGAGGAAGTCGGGGAGACTGAGGTCCATATGATGGCGAAGGAGAGGCCAAGCGCGATGGCGATGCCGACCTTGGCGCCGAAGCCCAGCGCCGGGCGGCGGCGCCAGCAGCCCAGGAGCCCGGAAGAGGGGCGGCCGGGCGGACCGCGGGCCACCGTCATGCGGCGGCGGGCAGTGGGCCGGTGGGTTGGTGGGGCGAGGCTGTCGGTGCTAGTGGTTGGCGTGGACTCTGGAGGCGGAGCCGTGGAGGCTGGGAGAAGAGAAGCAGCAGGGCGTGGCAGCGCCGCAGCGGCAGTTGGGAGCGGGACTGCGGAGCAGAACAAGCCGGTTCATGTTTGCTGTCACTGCGCTTTGTTCACTTTTTTTGTCACAAGCCTTTTTTTTAGAAACAACACGAAGCCTTTCAGACGCCGGATTTTTCTTCGTTTCCAGTGTTTTTTAAATGAAATGATTTATATAGAATTTCTGTACGAGTTTTGTAGAATTTATAGATTCTAAAAAAATCTTAAATACTCACTCCATTCTAAATTATAAATTATTTTGACTTTTCTAAGTGTATATGTTTAGATATATAGCAAAAGTTATGAATTAAAAAGGCCGAAACAACTTATAATTTGGAATGAAAGGAGTAGAACACAGCGGATATAGGCAAACTATTTTGTTTTTAGAAACTTGGCAAAGTAAATTTTATTTGTAAAGACTTGCTTTATGTGTACATGGATCTACACCGAGATTCATAAGGGGAAGGGGCAATAATTTTATGTCACTTATGTTGTGGACAAATCTTTTTAAAAAAATTGTGGATGAATTTTAATGTACATCTAATGACAACATAGCACACGAGATCACATGTGAAAGCCAAGTTTGTTAGTTATGTTGTATTAGCATTTTCTATACTTTTGAGATCGGGTCATATTTAGGCCAGCCGGGCTCCCAGTTGAATGCTCACTTTTGTAAACCTTGTGCTCACCAATAAGCTCCGCATTGCATGAAACCTTGCCTAGTCCTTTAGTTCCCAATAAATGATACCCACAATATGTCCTTGGTGAACTAATGCTTGTTTAGCAGCGAGAATTGGCACTCGGCTTCACCATAGGAGCTAGGCGAATTCGCCTATATAGACAAAATAACTTTACTATTCACTACTTGTGCTCACCAATAAGCTCCTCATTGCATGGGACCTTGCCTAGACCTTTAGTTTCCACCGAGTAATACCCCCACGACATGTCCCCGATGAACGTATGACTTGTTTGGCAGCGAGAATCGACACTCAGCTTCACCTATTCATCTAGAACAGCAGAGATGTCAAAATTAAAGTCACTCAAAAACCCTGCAAAATAGAGCCTAAACCAGTTAGGCAGCTACGGTGATGTGGGTTCACTAGAGAGCAAGTCTATGTTTCGAGATTGGCTCTCTACTCCTGTGCGCACTCCAGTAACTTCTCTAAACATGTGTATCTTTTTAAATGGTTATTATGCAATAATTTGAACATCTACAATTTTAGTGAATATGTTTCAAACCGCAATTTTTTGTACAAAGGCTACTAGGCATAATCCAAATGATAAAGTATATTTTTCAACCTCCAACTTACAGCATAGTCCGATTTTCAATCTCGAACTATGAAACCGGGTAACACACATCCTCCAATAACTATCGAAACTGATAAATTTAGTCCTCTAGCTGGCTTCAAAAGTGGCTACTATTTTACAATAATAACAAAAATCTGGTTTGATCTCTAGAAATTTATAATTAATTAAATCATAAAAATATGAAACTAGTTTCAGTTTTCTTCTAAAAATGTGTCATCTATCTGTTGGTGCTATATTCAGAGTTATTTATATCTTACTTATTTTAAATAAATAATAAGTGCAACTACGAGCAATAAAGCAATAAGTACAAAATAAACCAATTCTAAATACTTATATATTTTTCCCTAATTTAAAATAAATTAATTATGAATTGCTATTGGTTTTAAAATAAACCAATTCTAAATACCTATATGTTTTCTTGATTTAAAATAAATCAATAAAGCAACAAGTAGATAACATTTTAGAAAAAAAAATGGTACTAGTATCATATTTTTCTGATTCAAAATAAATTATTTATGAATTGTAGATGGTAAATCAGATTTTTTTACTATTTTATAAAATAGAAAAAAACTTTAAAAGCAACACGAGGACCAAATTTGTCTGATTTTGACAATTAGAGGGTGTCTATTACACGTTTCATAATTTAAGGTTGAAAATTAGGCTATTGCATAAGTTTGAGGGTGAAAATGTACTTTACCCTAATCCAAAATGTATCAAGCCATCAGTTCTGCCTTAACCAAACAGATTGTAAATTACATCAATTTGTAGATAAACTGAACAAAATTTAATCACTGCATCGTATGATAGCTCAATTTAATAAAATCGAAACATTTTATCTGTGTGTGATTAAATCAATTTCTTGCTGGCAAAATCACTTGGGCTTGGCGCCCGCAGGAAGTACCCGCCAGTCCGCCAGGAATCAATTTGTTGCAATGTCGCTAGTTTTGCTCTGTGTTTCTGTTTGGTTAAGTAATCAGAGAGGGGGAACGGATGTGCATGCCATTTGTTTCGTCAGGGACACGACCGGGGACGGCGAGTCAGTGAGCGAGTACGACTGGCCACCAACAACAGCGTGGATGGGTGATCTCTGGGACGCTTCTGTTCGATCGACCCTATCCGCTGGCTGAAGACGGCGGATATCTTGGCGCGCAATAGCTGAATTTGCACATTCCCAGAATATTTTGTCCCAGCTCTGCGACTCTCTACCACAGCCAGTCAGCCACAGGCGCAATAGCTACGCGGCCGGTCGTAGAGCCCAGAGCTCGAGCTGCGGACGGATCGGAAGGTCCGGCGCAGCCGCGCAGGCACCTTGTCGTCACGGGCGGGCGCACGGCGCACGTGCTTGTCCGCTCCTCTCCCCGTCCGCGACGACAGCTCCAGTCTACTGGTCCTCCCCTGTGCCAACTAATTAATAAGTACTCCGTACACCACAAAACCACTTAACCACATCGCCCGCCGCGCTCGCCGCCGTCGCCGTCGCTCTACAGTCGATCGGCCTGCGCGCGCCCACGGAGACGGAGCTAGGCGAAGCGAAGCGCCGGAAAAACGCGCGCCACCCGTGCCCCCGGGCGCTGCGCATCGTACACACACGAGCGCGCGAACTGGAGCTGGCTGGCCAGGGTTGCGTACGTGTGGTCCTCTTTTCTTATCTCTTCCCCCGGGCTCCCGCCTTTCCCACTCACCATACAAAACCAACCATCATGTACAGCAACAGCTAGCCATGTCTTTTGGAGATCACACACTCACGACACTGCCGCTGGTACGGTAGAATATGGTGAACTCGCTAGTAGCTTTATTTGCTTGCCGGCCCGAGCACATCATTGGCTAGCTAGCTAGCAAGCATATATAGCTAGCGAGCTGCTACACATTGTGTGGCTGCGCGCGCGCGCGCTCTTGTCCAATCTCAGTGCCGGTGGAGAGCCCTAGTAGCTAGCGCTGCTGCTGCTGGCCATGTCGTCGAAGCAGGAGAAAGAGGAAGAGGTGGAGGTGCCGTGCATGAATGGCGACGTGGGGAGGGACGACGACAACGGCGGAGTCGAAGAAGGAGGAGGAGGCGAGGGCGAGTTCGCGGCGGCGATGGCGCAGCTGGCGCCGGAGGGCGTGCGGGCGCTGCACGCGCGGGTGGAGGCGGAGTGGGGCCCCGTGCTGCAGAGCGCGTGCCAGACGGCGGCGGTGCGGGCGCTGTGGGGCCGCGCCGTGCGCGACCCGGCGGCCGGGGTGCTGGCCGGGGAGCGCTACCTCAGGGGGCTGCACGACAAGATGCGGCGCGACGAGCGCGCCGGCGCAAGCGAGGTGCACGGCGTCATGATCGCCGTCAGGACGCTCTGGTTCGACGCCCGCATCGAGGCCGCCGTCGCCGCGCTCGGCGGCGACCCGCAGGTCGTGATCCTCGGTGCAGGTTAGTATACGCACAAGCACAACACTGGCCTCTGCCCTGCCGCATGATGCCGTGGCTATTGCATTTGCATGCTGCGCAGCGCCGTTCTTTGCATGCCTGCCTGCCTGCCGTGCATGATCGACGCATCACGCATGCACATACTGACATACACCCCCGCGCATCATACTCGACGCATTCTCTTTTTCTTTTTTTGTGAGCTTATTACTGCAGTATATACTCTGCAATAGATCGATACACATGGATGATGAATGAAGAACACTGAAGTATCAAAATGACAACGATCCACTGTTTCACAAATCACGAGTGTGTAAGATTTTGTTTGACAGTCTGACTAAAATCACAATGGGGAGTTTTCTTCAAAACATACTATAGACGTAGACGCTCACAAAAAAAACAATCATCCTACGAGTACATGCAGGCGCGCACTATCCTTATTATACGTAGATGCTTTATTTTGAGACACTTGGCCGGCAGCCATTGACATTGATGACGTCATCGCAGCCACCTCACTATTGAGGATCACATAGTATTACCTCACACTGAATAAATATTAGCTATAAATGAAGAACTACACGCCTACACCTAGTTAGCCACAAAAAAATATATCTGCAAGGAGTAGCCTAATTCATGGCAGCATATTCTCCATTTGTAAATAACTTAGCTGGTCATCATCCACGCTGTCCATTTTATCTGTGGCGACAAATTTAAGCGCCCATTGTTGGACACGAAAAAAAGGATTATTGGCATCTAAAACTTGTATACAGACGAGGCGATCGTCTCGTGTGTGAGATGGAAAAGGAAGCAATTGTGGCTCGGAATGAAGACACCTGGCCACATTACAGCAAGAAGAAAGCTATCCTGGCGCTGCCCATTTTGATGGAAGCATGTCCAGTAATGGTACAGCTGCACATCAACATTCTTTCAAAAAAAGAAGAAAAGAAAAAGAGCACATCAACATCAACGCACTGATATTTATGTCCTTGATGATACTGGTGTGTTTTTTTCCACAAAAAAAAAAAAGAGATGATACTGGTGTCTTCTGTTAGATCCCTTCAGCCGCTCTAATCGGTTGGCAGTTAGCAAGATGCGGACCAGGAAACTTTTGGCCTGTATCCTACAAGAAAAACTTTTGGTTTGCAGCTAAGGGTGTCAACACTATACTGTACATAACAGC